GGGACCAGACACCCACCCACAACCAGGCACCCCGCACCAGCACCTTGGGGCCCACCTGGGGACCCAGGGTATGGAGAAGGGGACCAGACACCCACCCACAACCAGGCACCCCGCACCAGCACCTTGGGGCCCACCCGGGGTATGGAGCCAGGGAACAGACCTCCTCCCTCCCACAACCAGGCACACCATGACAGCACCTCAGGACCCACTCAGGGACCGGGGAATGAAACCAGGAATTGGACATTCTCCACTACCAGGCATACTTCCAGCACCACAGAGCAGGCCAAAACATCTCCATGTGGGTGGCCCACCTCAGCCACCATGATAACCATGGCTGCCACAAAGGCAGCTAGATGCCACAACCACCACCCAGATGGTCCGCCAGCCACTGGAGTGAGTTGACACAAGGAGAATCACCAGCAGAGATAAAGGAGGAGGATGTCTGTTTCCACAGAGCCCATTTCATAATAATAGAAGAGACATCTGCCCTATGATAGTATTGGGGGACCTGATCATGCCTCTCAGCATTGGACAGATCATTTGGGCAGCAAATCAACAGAGTGACCATTATTCTTTCAGAGGGAGAGAAGAAATCTAGGGTAATTAGAGGGGGCTGGGGGGAGGGAAAGGGAGATGGGGAGGGATTGGTCAAGGGGCATAAAGAGTAATTATGATTTGTAACAATATATATGCTAGTAATATTGATTTGATCAATATATCTCAATGTTGAATCCCCAAAATATGTATAATCAATTTTGATTCAATAAAAAATAAAAAGAAGATAGTGAAATTGGCATTATAAAATTTGTGCAAACAGAATGATGCCAAAACTTTTTAAGGTCATGAAAAACAATAAATAAATTTTTCTAAACTAAAAAAAAAAAAAAAAGTTTTAGAATATTGTATATGGCATTATACAAGAGATTAAAAGTGGCCAGTTACTAAACAGCTCAATTAAGATATTGCTCTTAGAGAAATCATGGACAATTTTCCACATGCTACTGATGGCAGCAATCTGTTCAGTATTGAAATGCTTTTCTTTGATGGAGGAGTATAAAAGGACCAACTTTGTTTTATTCTAAGTACATAACAGAGTAGTAATAGCAACAGCTGCTATTTATTGAGTATCTACTCTGTACTGGGTACTTTACATACACACATTATCTCTAATCTTCGCATCGACTCTGCAAAGTAGGAATTATTGTCCTCTTTGCTTCATTTGAGGGAACAGACTCAGATTAAATTCCTTGCAACACGGTCCACAGAGGGTATGTGCTGACATTTTTCCACCAAATCTTACAGTAAGGTAGAGTTCAGTTAGAGAGAGATTCTTTCATGATTTAACAGCCAAGTATTTTTATATCAAAGTTCAAATTCTTACCTGTTCATCTACTTCTTGAAAACTGTCAACATCAGTGCCGTTTGTTTCAAACTTTCCACACATGCCACTAAGAGAGGAGCTGCTATCACTTATACTGCCTTCTGGAGTGTCTGTGACACTGTCACTAGCTGGCCGTGAAGACACAAAGAGGCTGATATTATCAAAATCATCATCACAGAACCTGTTCTCAGCATCCACCTTCTGCACTTTTGCTGGATTGTAGGGTTTTAGGAAGGAGGAATACACATATCCTTTTACAACTGAATAAGAAATAAAAAGAAAGAAGAACTAAGATCATGTGTATACCCTTGCCAAACATGTGTGCTCAGAGAAGCACACAGAGGCCCCTGGGAAAATCTCAACTTAAAGAGGGATGGTAGTTCTGGGAAAAAACTTACTTCCTGTGTCAACAAGCCACCTGCTTGTACTCCCCATTGGATCTTTCTGTTCCATCACAGCTACCAACTCTCCTTCCAAAAGATTGATGTCATATTCTTGTGTAGCATTGCACTTGCGCTTAGCTTGGTAGAGTTCCTCTGCACTGTATGTGGATAGAAGTTTGGAGCGGTGAATATCAGTTTGACGTAGCACTTCTGGCTGGGAGAATTAAGAAGTTTTAGTTTAGATGGATGTATAATAAAATCCTCACTGAGTTGGGAAATATTACTTCTCTGAAGATTTTTTAAATGTAGAAGTCATACATTGATTTGAGATTATTTCAAGGTGGAAGCATAGATCAAGCTATTATTGTGAAGTACCCAGCTAAGTTATTCAGTGAAAAATACTCTAGTAAGCACATGAGGGCAGTGTTGTAGAGAAGAAAGAAAATTCAACTGAGAATAAGAAGGTAGAAATTCTGATCCCTCATGGATATTGAGCAACTTTTTAACTGTTTGCCATTCTGTAGACCACCCCTTGCATATTAAACACTTGATAAATAATATTTAATTAAGTAAAGTGTACATGTGCATGTCTTATTCTGGGAAATATCAGTAAGTTAAACAGGAGTAAAGCGGCCTGTACCTCTTCCCAGCTACAGCACTAAGTGACTTTGAGAAAGCCACTTCATCTCTGGAGCCTAGGATGCCTTTTCTAGAAAACGAAAGGGTTGGACTTTATGATTTATCACTATAAAATCCTATTCAGCAAATATTTATTGAGTGCCTACCTTGTGGCAAGCACCATTTTAGCACTGTGGGGATATATCATGTACAAAACAGAAAAAAAAATCCATAAGCTTATGGAATTTATAAGAAATAGACAAAAAATTCTACACAGAATATGTACATAAGCTATATGATGTTACAATGATATAAGTAATATGGAAAATAATATACTATGATTTGGACACGGCAAAGAAGTGATATTCATTATTGTCATGAATGCTGCCAGACTTACCAGAATCTGCACAGGCTTCTTCTTTTCAAAACTAAGTTTCCTCTCAATAAAGTTGGCACTATTATCCTTTACAAAATTCAGATTTTGAACCTCTTCTAGTACTTGATTCTGAATCTCAGAAATGCTTGAGACCAGTGGTGGCACCTGTAGGTAGAAATGATATGACATTATTTCCAGACAACTAGATAACCATATTAGGTATTAAATTTAATAAAGTTATGATGAACAGTTAAGAAAATGTATGATAGCTCTGCAGTAAAAAAAAATTAGGGCAACTTTAGAACTTCTAGATAACGACAGTTTAATTTGCTATCTCTGGAAACCCCTAAAATGATAGGGATAATTTTTTTAAAGGTTCAAGCCTAAATAAAAGAACAGAAGTGGGAAAAAAATAGCAATAAAGTCTTGGAAGAAAGACTTAGAAATTGACTGCAGTAGGTACCTTCCATGTAGTGGGGTAGGATAGTGGCAAGGAGAAAGAGGCTAAAACAAGAAGCACTGATGTAATAGCTTATGCCAGTTTGAGAACAAATCAGCAGTGGCTGGCCATTTACTCAGTTGGTTAGAGCATGGTGCTGATAACACCAAGGTCTAGGGTTCCATCTCTGTGTTAGCCAGCCACCACACACACAAAAAAGCCATTTACTCAGTTGGTTAGAGCATGGTGCTGATAACACCAAGGTCTAGGGTTCCATCTCTGCGTTAGCCAGCCACCACACACACACAAAAAAACAAATCAGCAAATTCTTTGACATGCTTCCCATCAAGAAATAGAGTCTATGTCCTCACCCCTCAAAAATTCGGTGGGCCTTTATGATGGCTCAGTGAATAGAATGTTAAAATGAATAGAACAGTGGAAGTGATGCCTTCCGATATTCAAGATTAAGCTAAAAAAGGCCATGCAGTTTCTGCTGCTTTCTCTTGGAACACACTCTTCTAGGAGTCTTTAGTCACCATGGAAGAAGTCCAGCTGCACTGTGGCAACCATATAAAAAAAACCATGTTGAAAAATCAAAAAGAGAGAGATCTTTGGAGCCCCAGCTGTTCCAATCCCCAGCTGTTTGAGTCTTCCATCATCATCTCACCACCAACCTCAGACATAGACCTGAGGAAGTCTTTGAGATAATTCCAGTTCCAGCTATTATCTGACTACATCCTCTGAGAATGACCAACCTGAGCCCAGTGAACCTCCAAAGCCACGAGAGAAAATAATAAGTGACTATTGACGATTTCCTACCACTATGTTGGCATAAATTGTGCAGTAAGAGACAACTAGAACTATTTTCAGATCTGGATCCCCAGATTCTTTCTCCATTTTGGTGAAGTTGGGTGATTGTCTCTTCCCTACCTTGGCAGAAGATGAAGTTTTCTTCTCTGCAAATGGTGAAAGAGAGAGGAAACCAGCCCAAGAGGAAAGATGCTATTATTAGGTGTACCAAATTGAAATGACAGATTACTCTACACAATAGCAAAGCTTATCGTTTACAACTCCTATTTATGTGCTCAATGCTGTCCATTAGGCCTCAACTTTTATCACTGTTGAATTATCAGGAATATCAGACATTACAGAGGCATATTTCATATTAGAGGCCTGCCTCTAACATAAAAGAGAGAGTCTGAAACAAAAGAAAAGCAATGTCTTAATTTTAGGGAAACAAAGAACCCTTGAAAATTAAAATTATGAGAGCAGAAATAAAAATAGATTGAGAAATGAGTTAGAAGATTAAGGTAGGAAAATTTCTTGGGAGTTAGAACAAAGTAATAATGAGATAGAAAATAAGTAGGAAAAGATAATGAAATTCGAGGAAAACCCAGGAGGTTCAAAAAGAGAAAAAGGGAGAAAAAAGAAAAATTAAGGAAATATTCAAAGTTTCTAGAAATGGAAGTCATAAATTGTTGGGTTAAAAGGATCCCACCAAGTGTCAAACATACCAAGGTATATCATCACTAAATTCATACTGATGGAGACAAGGAGAAAATCCTATAAGCTTCCAGGGATAAGGATGGAGGAAGTACATACAAAGAATCGAGAATCAGAATGGACTTCAGAGTGCTCAACAGAAGCAGTGGAAGCTAAAAGACAACAGCAGAATACCTTAAAATTAAAAAAGAACAAATTAGAATTCCACACCCAGCCAAATTATCAGTTGAGTGTGATAATAGTATAAAGACATTTTCTGATACTCAAGTCGTCAAAAATATTTACCTCTCAGTCATCTCTTTTGAAGGAACTACTTGAAAATATGCTCGCCCCAAATTAAGGCATAAAGCAATAAAGAAGTCAACATGGGATAAGGACATAAGGAAATGATATCTCACACAGAAGAGAAAAATTTTCAACCACCTCAGTTTGGAGTGGGTCTGAAAGCTCTGGGAGAGATTTTGGCAAGAAGACACAATTGATAGAATACCTCATATATCTGAATGTCTTAAGAGGTGATTTAGTCAACTAATAAAGTTAGGCAAAGGAAAATTAAGCAACTGATAAAATAACACAATGATTACCTTTAGGAAAAACAAAAGCTACGTATGAATGAAAAAGTAATCATAGCATTCTGTGTGGCTCAACTCTAAGCAGCATTCACTTTGTGTGCTGGATATCTGTTTGCTTCTTCAAATTCATTCTCCTTCTGTTTCCATTCTACACTGTGCTCTGGGAAGCTGATCAGAATAGAATGTTTCCTGCTTTCTGGCTTCCAGATGGGTTCAATCAATGAGGAACAGTCACAGGAAATCAGAATGAGGGAGGAAAATGAGATTAGGAATTTTATTTCCTAAGTTTCCTTTCTATAGTATTAACTGAAATGTACAGCTCCTATCAGGTCACCCTCTCCACACACCTATCTCTATATACATTCTTATAACCACTCCCTCCCCATTTCCCTTTAACCTAGATGTTGTAAAGCTCCCCTCTTTTCTTACCCTCTTCCTGGGCCAAGGTACTGTTTCTAAAGGTTCACCTGTGTCACACTCACACTTTGTAAACAGTCTCTTTTAATTTTTTTCCAAATGCCCAATTTGAGTGTGTGTTTTTCCTACTGGTATCATGACTGATACACCAGTCAAATAGTTTAAACACTGAATATGAACTCAACCAAATTTATGACATAACTGTACTAAAGGTGGGATAGAAACAATGCATATGAATATTTGAGGGTACTTCCAAAAGTTCATGGAAAGAAGTTCATATTATCTTTTAATTCTATTTTTCCATGAACCCTTTGAAGTATTTTTGTATATGTTGCAAGGGTATAGAGAGATGAGAGATCTAAGTCCTCATTTTTCATAGTGGAATGTATCATGCCTAAAATTGAAAAATAATAAAATGGCAACACAAAAGTCTTATTTTAGAATATGAAGATAAATACCAAGAGAATTTTCTGAAAGAGCTGAAAAGTAGTTGGCTCTGAGGAAGAGAAATGGAGTGAGTAAAAGGAGTGAAGGACAACTGTTTTTCTTAACCAAACCTGAACAGTAACTACTTGAATTTTAAAATCATGTACATGTATAACTCTGATAAAAATGAATATTAAAAATAGAGCTTTGGATTCCTCAAAAAATTAAAAATAGAATTACCATATGATCAAGCAATTCCACCTATGGGTATATATTCAAAATAATATAAAGTAGGATCTTGAAGAGATATTTGCACACCCAGGTCATTGCAGTATTATTCACAATAGCAAAGAGATAGAAGAAACGCAGATGTCCATTGATAGATAAATGAATAAACAAATGTAGTGCACACATACAATGGAATATTATTCAGACTTAAAGAGGAAGGAAATCCTGTCACATGCTGCAACTGGATGAACCTTGATGTCATTATGCTAAGTAAAGTAAGCCAGTCACAAAGAGACAAATACTGTGTGATTCCACTTATATGAGGTATTTAAAGCAGTCAAATTCACAGAAACAGAAAGTAGAATAATGGTTGCCAGGGACTGGAGGAGAGAGAAATGGGGAAATAAGGACTTGTTTAATGAGTATATTTTGGTTTTGTAAGATAAAAATGTTCTGGAGATTGTTGCACAATATAAATATACTTAATGCTACTGAACTGGATGGACACTTGAAAATGGTTAAGATGATTAATTTTTTTTTTTCTTACCACAATTAAAAACTTTTAAATATATGCTTTTATTCTCATTTTATTCGTGTGAGAAAATTGAGATACAGTGGGATAAATTAATTTTCCCAAGATAATATGGTGATGAGTGGGTATTACAATAAGGTACTTCAGTGCCGGAGTCTATTCTGAAGTTACTATTCTATTCTGATTTTCAGAAATATATAGTTATGAAAGATGGGAAAACTGTGTGAATGGTATATGGAATCTCTGTATTACTTTTTCCAACTGCATGTGAATATATGATTAGCTCAAAATAAAAAGTTTAAATATATATATTATATATAAAATATAGAATGAAGTCATTTAATGAAGATAAACTTCTCCAAAATACTTTTTACTTTAGAACGTTAGTAATTCTCAAAAACAAAGTATCTCTTTGCTCCTGTTCTACTATAAACTACAATGTGAAAGATATTTAGACAATTTAAAACAGAAACTGAAGACAGACACCTTTAAAAATTCTATGATTCAAGGTGGAATTCAAAGATAAGCTAAAGTAACATGTCTTTTCTGACTAGTGAATTCCGGCCAAAGCTCTACTTTATTGTGAACTTATGAACCTGCCTTCTACCATGACCTCAGAATGAAATTATACAAAGAAACTGCAAATTAAGTGAGTTTCACTGAGAAAATATTAACAATGAAAAATAATATTTTATTAAATAATGTTGGGGCAACTGGATAGCCATTTGGAAAAAGATAAAGTTGCAACCATATTTCACATCATGAACCAAGATAGAATCCACACGGATCAAAAATTTTGTTTTGTTTTGTTTTTGGCATCTTGAACCCTTGATCCTGCCATTATCAGCACCATGCTCTAATCAAATGAGCTAACCAAGGATCAAAGACTTTAAAAAATATGAAACCATAAATATATTTATGGAAACATGAATGAATTCATTTGAAGCTTCAAAGAGTGGAAGTCCTTTCTAAGATTTAAAATCTAGAAACCATAAAATGAAATTAATAAATTTGACTGCATTAAAAAAAATCCAAACATTTGCATGACAAAAAAATATCACAAGCAAAGTCAAAGACAAAAGGTAAACTGGGAAAAAATATTCCCAACTTACATCTGAAAAGATTCATATCCCTAGTAGAGTTGTCCCTTGTTATCTGTGGAAGATTGGTTCCAGGACTCCCATCAAAATCCAAGGATGCTCAAGTCCCTGATATAAAATGGTGTATTATTTGCATATGATGTATGCACATCCTCCCATACACTTTAAGTCATCTCTAGATTCCTTATAATACCTAATACAATACAAACGCCATGTAAATTGTTGTTATATTGTATTACTGTAAATAGTTGTTATACTGTATTGTTTTTTATTTGTATTATTTTTTACTGTATTATTTTTTATTTTTCTAAATGTTTTTGATTGGCAGTTGGTTGAATCTATGGATTAGAACACAAGGATATGGAGGGCCAACTGTACATGCATTCCTTTTAGAAATTGAAAGAAAAAAAAGATTAAGAACTCAACAGTAAAAAAGCAAAAGACATGAACAGCTAGCTCACAGAAAAAGAAATGTAAATTGCCCTCAAATGTCAAGATTCTCAGCCTCACAAATAGAGAAATGCAAATTAAAATTGAAATCTTAAATTTAAACTTAAATCTGAAAATTAAACTTGAAATCTATCAGAATGGCAAAAATCCAGGAAAATCAGCACTCTCACATGTTGCAGGTGGGAATTCAAAATGGAATAACCATTAAGAAGGGAATCTGGCAATATTGAGCAAAATGACGTGTTTTTACTCTTTGACCCAGAGATCCCGCTTCTGGAATCTGTCCTAAACAGTTCAAAATGGAATAACCATTAAGAAGGGAATCTGGCAATATTGAGCAAAATGACGTGTTTTTTACTCTTTGACCCAGAGATCCCGCTTCTGGAATCTGTCCTAAACAGACATGTGCTCACATATAAAATGACCCTGGCATTATATGTAATACAAAAAGATTGGAGACAGTCCAAATATCCATCAATAGGAACAGGTTAATTCACAAATACATACCGTATGATTCTATTTATAAGAGAACAAACAAGTCAGGCAAAACAGTCTGTGGAAATACAGGTCAGAAAATGGTTATCTTAGGGGACTACAGCCTGGGAATTGTCATGAGTGATCCTTATGGGGAACTGGAAGTGGCTGTATCTTGATCTAGGTGGTGGTTACACAGAATTGTAAGTATTTATTGAGATGTACACTCAAACTGGTACACTTCACTGTATATAAGTTATACTTCAATTTCAAAAGTGTAAAAATAGGGTACTGATCAGGGAAATGCATTTCAAAACCACAATGAGATACCACTTTACACCTATTTGATTGGTGTAGTGGATTGAATTATGCCCCCCCAAACTCACTGAAGCTTGAATTGTGTCCCCCAAGTTTTATGTATTAGAAACTAGGTCCCCACTGTGAATGTTAAGAGGGTGGGAAATCCTATTATGGTAATTGAAAGGTGCAGCCTTGAAGAGGTGATTAGGTTGTAGGACCATGCCATAGTGTATGGATTAATAATGGTGGTCAGGGGCGTGGTTCTGAGGTCTTTAAAAGGAGAGTGCATGAGGGGCTATGTCTCTGCTCTCTCTGCTCCACCATTTTTGTGATGTGATAACCTGCTATCACTGTTGCCACCACCAAGGCCTTCCCCAGCTGTGTTCCCTGGACTTTGGACTTCCTAGCCTCTGAAACTGTAAGCAATAAATTTTGTTTTCTTTGTAAATCTCCCAGTTCTGTGTATTTTGTCATAAGCAACAGAAATGGACTAATACAGAAAAATTGGTACTGAGGAGCAGAGTGTTGCTATACAGTTATCTGAAAATGTGGAAGTAGCTTTGGAACTGGGGCAAAGGATGGAGGAGTTTGGAGGACTTAGAAGAGGACAAAAAGATGAGGGAAAGTTTGGGACATTTTAGGGATTGGTTAAATGGTTGTGAACACAATGCTGACAAAAATGCTGACAGCAGAGGCCATGCTGATGATGAGGTCTCAGATAGAAATGAGGAACTTATGGGAACTGGACAAAAGATCACCCTTGCTACACCAGAGCAAGGAACTTGGCTGCATTGTGTCCATGCCCTAGGACTTTGTGGAAGGTGGGACTTAAGAGTTGTGAACCAGAATGTTTGGTGGAAGAAATTTCCAAGCAGCAAAGCATTAAGGAAGCTGCATGGCTATTTTGCAAAAGCCTATGCTGAATTATGGCAGAAAAGGCATGATATAAAGCCAGAATTTAAAAGGGAAGCAGAGTGTAAAGATTTGGAAAATTTGCCGCCTGGCCATGTGGTAGGGAATGAGAGAGCCCTTTCAGGAGAAAAATCCAATAGTGCAGCAGATAGACTGGTTACTAAAGACATTAGCTTGGCAATTAGGCAGCCAGATGCTAATAGCCAAGAAAATGGGAGAAAGGTCCTGAAGGCATTTCGGAAGTCTGGAAGGGTACCCCTCCCATCACAGACCTGGAGGCCTAGAAGGACCGTTCTTTCAGAGGATAGACCCAAGGTGCTGCTGCCTTCAGGAACCTGCTCCCTGCATCCCAGCCACTCTGGCTGGAGCAGACCTGCCTCAAGCAGCCCTAAGTGTGGTTTGTGCAGCAGCTCTGGAGAGCACAAGCTGGAAACCGTGGTGGCATCCATGTTGTGGTAAGTCTGCAGGTTGTCAGAACAGGAGAGCAATGGAGGTGTGGCAGCCTCTACCCAGATTTCAGAGGATGTATGGAAAAGTCTGGGGGCCCAGGCAGAGACCTGCCACAGGGTTAGAGCCACCACAGAGGCCATCTACTAGAACAATGCAGAGGAGGAATGCGGGTTGGAGCCCCCACAGAGAGCCCTCACTGGGGAAATGTCTAGTAGAGTGAAGGCAGTGGGGCTGCTGCCAGAACCCTGGAACTGTATGGCCACTGGCAACATGCCACACTGGCCTGGACATGCCACAGGCACCAGTGCGGGCTCAGTGGGCTGTGTCCAGCAGAGCTGTGGGGGAGGATCCGCCCAAAGCTTTGGGGGCCCAGTTGCCTCATTGTCCAGGACTTGGAGTCAAAGATTATTTTGGAGCTTTAAGATATAATGTCTGCCTTGCTGGGTTTCGGACTTGTTTAGGGCCCGTTTCTCCTATCTTTCGGCCTATTATTCCTCCCTTTTGTAATTGGAATGTGCACCCAATGTCTGTTCCACCACTGTATCTTGGAAGTAGATAAATTTGTTTTTGATTTTTACAGGTTTGCAATTGAAAGGAGTTTTGCCTTTGATCTCAGATGAGACTTTGGACTTGTAAGTTGGTAATGGAACAAGCTAAGACTTTCGGGACTGTTGGGATAGACTGACTGTATTTTGTATGTGAGAGTGACATGAGTTTTGGGGGGCCAGTTTTATGCAAAATATCCAGAATAGGCAAATCAGCAGAGACAGAAAGTAGATTGGTGATGCCTATGGCTGGGAGGTTGGGGGGAAATGTGAAGTACTGTTAATGGGTACAAGGTTTCTTTTGGGGTCAATGACAATGTTCTAAAATTGATCGTGGTGATGGTTGCAGGTATGAATATATTGAAATCACTGAATTGTATACTTTAAATAGGTAAAATGTATGGTGAACTATATCACAAGAAAGTTATTACCAAAAAGGAGGGGGCTGATTACATATCATTGTACAGTCGTGCAGTAAATTATGATAAAGCTGTACAAAAAAAATGAGGAAGCTCTCTGCAGTGATATGGAAGCATCCCCAAGAGATATTGTTAAAAAGCAAGTTACAGAATGGTATATACAGTATGCTATTTTTTGTGTAGGAAATAAAAATATACATTTGCATTACTTTTATTGGCATAAAGAAGCCCTAAATGGGTAAAAATAAACTATAATAAAGCTGGAGTAGGATTGGGGGATGGGAAGCCACCGGGACAGGTGTGGTTGTGAAACTGCTTATAGGTTTTTATATAGTTTTGACTTATGAACCATATAAATATAGCACCTGTTGATTTAATTTAATTTAATTCAAAGTGTAAGTTAAAAGTTAATTAATACACAATAAAAAATAAAGTAGGAACAATTGATTCTTTTCCAAGTGCTGTCCATTGGATAGTTCGCCAGCTGAATTAGAACTAATACACTTGAAATGAAGGGCCAAGAAACCAAGCTGATTTTTTGTATCAGGTTGTAAATACCTTTCTTCCTCATCAGGAAAATAATTATAAAATCATATCATAATGGGAAGCTAAGATACACACACACACACACACACACACACACACACACACACACACACAGATTCTTTTCCTTGGAGGAAAATAAAAGCAAAACAAAGAATGGTTTGACAGTTACCTTGCTTCTGTCATTATGCTGAGATTACCTTCTTTTTAGAGCCACATCTTAAATAGTAATTGTTAACATCTAAGAACTGTTGATTGGGAAGGAATACAAAATATAAACTGATAAGCTTCAATGTAGCATCAGGTAGGTAGAGCAAAGCGGAAATGTGTTTGATATTTGAAAAGGAATCTCCAAAAAGGAACTACAAATGTGTAAGTCACACTAAACCTGAACTAGGAAATTCTCTTTCAGCTTCCTGCAGGGAAGAGAGATAAGGAGAAGACTACTTGACTGGCTTCAGTTAAAATAAATAACAAACACACACACATATGCACACTCTGAACAGGGCTTATTTAGCATGGGTGTGGTTTCTAGTAAATCTGGTAGGCCAAGGTAGTTGGGTGCTGGTGCTGTGCTTACCGGCACCACTGTGGAATAAGCTTGCTGTGCCATGAGCATCATGTCCCTCAGGAGGGTAATGAAACTGCACAGAGAGTTCAGCAGAATCTTCCAAGCAGCCTGGTTGAACGCCTGGAGCTCTTCCACAAGCTGGGCATTGAGGGCCTCATACTCCTTTTTGGCCAAGTCTGACTCATCTCCCACTGACCGCTGCAGGTAGCTGTTGTAGTCCAGCAGTTTGTCATAGCGTTTCTGGATGAGTTTCTGAGGCCCTGGAAATAAGGACAACAGGGCTGACAGGGGTGTCAGGACGAGTCTCTGTAAGTGAGCTGCCTGCCAAAAGAAAAAACAATCCATTTCAGAGAAAGGAATAACCCATACCGTGTCCAGCACTATTATCAGTAGGCATATTTCCTCCCTGAAAGATCACAAAGGAAAATGGGAACACATTGAGCCAACTTAAGAGAGGATCTGATCATTTTTATGTCAATTAAAACTATTCAAAGACTTAAAACAAAGACTCCAGATGCTAACATTAGACCTAAAGAGTGAGCAGGAAGAGCAATACAAAAGTTAAAGCCTGCTTGTCCAAAATATAACTCCATCTTTCTCTCTAAAGCCATTGGTTTTGTCATTGGGGTCATCTCCTTCAACACTTTCCCAGTCCATTTCTTTCTAATCCCAGAGCCAAGCTAAGCTATTCTAGCACATGGGGTTGGGAGGATGCTATCCAGCCTTTGACTACCAAGACTGTATAAATGATTCACCAAGACACTCACACCTTTTGGGGGCAATATCAAAGAATATTGTGAGTCTTAGAGGAAGTAACCTATCCCTCCCACATCAGCCCTAAATCCCTGTCTATTCGGGGCTCGTTTTTGGTAGTTGAATTGCATCCCCTATACAGATAAGTAGCCCCTTAATATAGGTATTTTACTCCTGAGACAGAAATCACCAGTGATAACTTCCTCCTTAAATACATTAAGAATTAAGCTGACACTGATCCTGTGTCTTAAATTGTTATATTTTTAGGTCTGAATTCTAGAAAATAAACTTCCTATTAATGCCCGATCCCCTGTCATCAGCTGAGCATCCTAGCTTTAATTTCTTCTATTTCTCTTTCCTTTCCCTCTCTTCTGAAATGCACTAGTATGTTTGCTGACTGTACTGCTTTACTCTTTATCATACATGCTTGGGTTACATGATTATGTTAGGGTAATTTGGAAGTAGGTTTCTCTTTTGTACCCCAAAAGGTGTCTTAGGGAATCAGCATCTGAGCATCAGCTTGTATTAATTAATTTAAATTTCCCCTGGCAACTTTGTCTGAACTCATGGGAAATCTAGAAGAATGGGAAACCAATATTTTATTGGCACCAGCAGTAACCAGCACTGATTAAATTTGATGTCGTTTATGAGATAATCAATACATACCTGCAGAGTGTTTAACGAGTCCCTTGACTAAGTAAACAATCTATTTACTGTATCTGGGGTAAATTACTGTTTGTGACTTGACTGGATTCTATGTGTAATCTAATTACAATATAACAATATAATTACAACGTATATACCAATGACTCACAGACATGAATTGATTCACCTGTACATAGGAATTATGGTTGGAACAAATAAGAATGAACTTATATTCTAATATTTTGCCCTACACAAATGTGTAGCTAAATATCACTCATGGTTAGATAAGAACAACTGCTCTGCCCTTAGATAGATTTTGAGTTTTCAATATTTGATTTTTAAAAAGAATTCTAGGGGCCGGCCCGGTGGCGCACTGGATAGTGCACCGCTTGGGAAGCGCGGCGGCGCTCCCGCCCGAGGGTTCGGATCCCACATACAGACCGGTTCCCGCTCACTGGCTGAGCGAGGCGCAGGAGCAACGCCGAGGGTTGTGATCCCGTTGCCGGTCCCGGTCCGGTACGGGGGCGACACTGAGGGTTGCGATCCGATGCCGGACACGGAAAAAGACAAAAAAAAAAAAAAAAAAGAATTCTATATACATTACCTATAAAAAGTTACTTTTATATTGAGCTTTTGGATAATTATTTTAATTTAGACTAATTAATCATCTTGTGGTTTAATCATCTTGCACCTGCAAGGTAGTCAGGATATCTTTTCTCTTCTTTCTGTAAAATTCGGGAGCATGCTTGCTGAGGGAGAAGCTACATACCTTGCTCTCACATGGTGCTCAATAAATATTTATTGACTTAATTAATGAATTGGAATTAAGAGCAAACCTTAAGGATATTTCTAAAATGTGCTCTCTCTAACTAAACCCAGAAAATACATAAAGAATTAGCCACACTTTTTCCATTAAACATATATTGTAAAAACTTCTATCATCTAACTATCCATCCATCTATCTATCCATACATCTATCCATCTATGATCACCCTGTCTCTCTATCTATCATCTTAGTTCTGATGTAATCCTGGCTTTCCCTTCCTCAGAAAAGCAAGATGCTTCTGCATGGTTTTCTACATGGATGGGGGCTGTATCACTTCCTAAGGTTTGGAGCTATGTAGGGCTATTCATTGGTTGTGACAATGACTTGAAGTGGGGGGATATTACTGAAATTTTGAGGTGGGAGGGCAGGAATGCTAAACATCCTCCAACTCAAGGGCCATGCAGTGAAGATGTGTCTAACCCAAAATGCCAATGATACCAACATGAAAATGCCACTTTCAAGGTGATGGAGTCTATTGTATCTTCTATATAATTCTTGAAATGCTACTATGAAATGACATCTATAGAAACACAAGGCACTAAATTAAAGTTAGTATTACTCAGATTAGCCTACCACCCAAATATTTTTATTGGCTCAAGCATGTTTTTGTGAATCCCAAGTTTTATATTACAGAACTCTTAGGAAACAAATATTTTACCGTGGAACAAAGGAGATAATGTATGACTCTTAAGTAAAAGTCCTCTCTCAACAGGAAGGCTTTGCTTTCCAGTGTATAGTGTGTTAATGAGACATATCCTCAGAGAGGATCTTCACTCCTTCTGTAAAGACTCAAGGCATTTTCACAGACTCCTTTAAGAAAATCACAGCTTTCTAATTTAATAAATCCTTAAGATATCATACACAGACTTAAACTAAATATTGATTTTAAAAGCTGCACAGACACTGACTACCCCTAGAAACATACTCTGTGGCTCTCTTAAATTCTGATTATAGTAAAATCCTCACTAATCCACTTTAAAAATATTTAATGATCAAAAAAATCCCGTTTAAATCTACTAGTTTTGACATTAGTGTTTGCTTTGGTGCATGTTTTATTTCTAGCTCCAGAAAAATAAATGAAAAGAATCTTTTCTTTTAACCTTAGTATTTAATTTGCATTTATCTGTGAATATAAATAACTTACAAAGTCATGAGAGGGATTTGGGACATTACTCGGGGTCTCTGAATAGCCCCTTTCCTCCTCATCTTTGTTATAAGAAATCTCCCGGAGCTCTGTTACACTCTGCAGAGCCAAGGTCATGGCATCCTGAAACCAAAGAAAGTTACAAAAAGGGCAAGTTCTGAAGTCAGTACAATTTAACATATCCCAAATGTGGATTTTATCACCATAACCATTATCACTGAGTGATAAAAAGAAAATGAAAGACAAAAATTTCATGTATACTCTGTACAATCAGGTTACTTGCAACAATTTATTGTCTTATTTTTCTCCTTATGTCACTTCCTCATAATACTCTGTATGAGACCTTTGATTAACTGGAGTCCGTCTTAAATTCCTTCATTGGACATTCTTTAGAATTCAGTTCTTAGAAATCTTTTATTTTAAAAACCACTTATCCTTGATTTATAACATCAGTTTTCCTTAGTGAATTTAATGCTCTCTTTAAAAGAGGATGCTCATGTTTTTGCTGAATCAGTTAGTGGAAATCGAAGACTTTCATGTAGATGTTCCCAAGAGGCACTTACTCCTCCAAAGATATGAAAAAGACAAGAGTCCCACTGCCCTCTGACTGCCATAACTATGTTTTGGTTTTCTTTTCATATAAGGCAGAACTTTAGGAAGAGATTAGCAAACCTAATTTTAAAATCAGGCTTTGCATCAGATAATAAATAAGAACAGAATGGTGCTTGTCCTTGTGTAACATGGAACCTTATCTCCAAATCATTGTGTCTGTCAATTTAACTTCATCTATGTGTGCAAACATCTGCTTCCAAAAACAGACATCCAAGAGAAAAACTTCTGGAAAATGGATAGTGGCCATTTATTAACTGATTTACATATAACTCTGCTAACTTTCTATGCCTTATAGTCATAACCATTGTCAAGATCTTATTAAGGACACTCTTTATGAGATCCATTAGAAGAAACTTCTGACTGGTCTTTCTACTGAGAATAATCATACTGTACTCTGACTGGTGTGTTGAAATCAGTGATTCAGAAGAGGGCCAGAACAATCTCCTAGGGGATTTGAAATTTGTGGAGGTGTTTTTGTCTTCTAGTAAAATCTCGTGAGAGCATTTGCATATTGTAGTTCATATTTTGTAGTTCAGTTTATTTTCCTTTATACGTATTTTTATACTTATTTTAGGTACTAGAAAAAGATAAGTTATTACAATCAAACAAAGAAACATAGAATTTCTGCCTCATGTGCAATCTTGCATTGATGAATTCATCTTCATTATAAAGAAAACATGCTGATAGTCCATGTAGCAATCATTTGAGCAGAAATCCCACAATATGGTGATTTGGATTGGGGAGAGGATGGAGCAGGTAAGGCAAAAAAGAGCAAAACTCAAGTCTTTATATTGGCTTCCTTCACCAGCAACTTGCAGACTTCCAAATTTGATACAGTAAATGTCATCATATAAATGAATGAACAGTCACATTTACTCTTCATAATAACCATGGAAATCAATGCTTTCTTGTTGAAACACTGAAAACAGTTGTGTCTCGCCTACCTGTATGTGTTGAAGGCAGAATGAAATGTTCTTCACACAATGCCTCACAGTCTTCTCTAAAGATCTAAACAACTTTTCTTCTCTGTTAAAGGTATTGTCTTTCACCTAAAATATATGTGAAATTATTTATTTTCATAACTCAAATGAATCTGGTATTTTAAAAAATAGCACAGAACACATTGGCCAAGCACATTACAAAAAATTCCTTGTTGATATGAAAACTTTTTATGATATACTGACTGTCTTAACACAGCACAACTCATATTCAGTGAGTGCAGCAAAGCCACATCTTGCAGCTTAATTTGCTGTAGTTCATTTTCACATAGCTTCACCTATGCCACAGTAGCTGTAGAATCGTAAAACTTTTCTCTGCAGTTTTTAACAGTTTATATTATATATGTACTCAAGTTATATAACATTTGTGGGTTTATAAAATAAATTGGATCTACCGACTGGAATTTATTGTTTTTGCTCATGTGACTCCAGTTCATTTCACAGTGCTTATTTAGAAAATATTCTTAGGTTCATGTTCAAAGAAATGTGGTAATTCTTTTTCAACTCAAATTTGAAGGATGATATATAATCTTAGCAAAGATAGCTCTTCTGTTAAGATAACTCAGTAGAGTTAAGATAGTGGTCACATGCGTTGGTTTTTTTTTTGGGGGGGAGGTGCCATCCTACATGTAGATCTAGTAGCATTCAGAAAAATGTGCTTTTTAGATGCTTATGATAATTTCTAGAAGCATACACATATTATTGCTAATAATGGTGAGCAGTATTTTCTGGAAATCAAAATAGCTACAAAACAAGATCAGAACCAGGCTCATGCTGGCAAAATCTGTGTGAACATGGAAATGTTTCATGGAAAAAGGTGTCTATTATTCATTTTGGTGCTGGCTAATAACTGTAGCTGTTCTTGGTTCATATGTTTCTTAATTTAAGATGGTTGACCTTAGAACTGAATGAAAAGAAAATGACAACATTTTATTTTATTTTTAAATGACGGCTATGCTTTGGAATTTCTTTGCTGCGGACACATGGCCTTTATCCTTAGTGGGTTTAAGAAACTTACCCACATTAATAGGTAGGATCAGGATTCAAACCCAGGTAGTCTCATTTCAGAACTTAACACCCATTCATCTTTTAATTCCCAATTTCTATTTCACACAGTGCCTGGTACATGAGAGTTCAATACATGTATGAAGAATTGAATAGAATCTTCTCCTTGGGTAATAGCTTTATACCTTAACTCTACCAGTATTTCACCTGAGCTGCTGACAAGTGCAAAATTGATTGATTTGAGATTTATCTCTTCTCCAGTCCAGCCTATGCAGCTGATTTTCTGATTAACAGTGAAATGCTTCGTTGCTGACAGGACATCCTCTCAAAAGATTAAGGGGAAAAATCTAATTAATATCCCTTCAGGCAACTTAACTACAATTCACTTTTATTTCACAGAAAAATATAAGAAGCTGATGATAATACACATATTAAAGAATATAACAGCTTATACCAAAACCTGCCTATAATTAGAACTGCCTATTTTTCCTCAGTAGAATTGTCATGCGTCGCAAAATTCCAGAGTGGCAGAGAATTGTTCGCACTTCATTTACGCATGCCTATGAGGGCTACAATCTCTCCTTACATGAAATCCCAATTCTATTTTATTACTATTGTCTTCAGTTGAAATGTCTTGATTGTCCTTTCCCTGATTTGTGACCATACACCATGAACATCCCAAACCTCCCACATTATAGTTCCACATTGAGAGGAGAGGCCTCCTATATGCAATGGACCCAGTAAGGCCTTAGAAGGATACAAAGAACTAAATACAAGAATGATATGCTGTGTGTTCTAAGAACATATATGTTGGCTACAGTATGATAAAGTTGGTGCAGCCACAAGAGGAAACAAGAACAAGGCTTGGAAGGAAGTTTATTGTACTCACAGGTCCCAGAGAAGGGGTCATCACATACCACCCAGGGCCACAGGGGATGCACCAGGTTTTGGTCAGGTGGCAGAAGATAGGAATGAGGAGAAAGTCTAAGCCAGAGCCTTTATTAGAAACTTCCCAGAGTTTTCTCGGGAAAGGCAAGGCAGAACAGAGTAAATAGTTAAGGGCTGGCTACTTTGAATAACTTTCATGGGCTTTGGGCTATAGTCATGGTCTCTAGTTGACTGGTACCTGGCCCTGGGATGACTTAGGGTAGGGTAAATATTGGCTTGGTGTATAAGAGTTTGATAAGGAGTCGGTGGATTCGGGATTGGTTGGTTTGCATATGAAAGTTCCCAAACATTTGCTGTCTCTAAGAACTGTCTAGCCCTGGAAGGGGCCATCTCTCCTTAGCCAGCAAGGTATTTTAATATGCCAACAGTTTATAAAATACAGAAAGTAACAAAGATGATTAATACACCCAGCAAGAAGGAGTTTATATCCATATGAGAAGTAAGTAAACTGCACATTCAAAGGTAAGTAAAAATAAGGGAAATGATATAAAATGATGACGATGATGATTATGACAATAACGACAGCCAATGTTTATTGAGTGCTTATACACTGTGTTAAGTGCTTTCTTTATATATGCAGCATCTTACGTAATTCTTATAACCATCCCATGTGTTAAATACTAGTGTAATCCCTAATTTATTATATTGAATTTAAGTTACATGCCCAAAGATAAATATTTATTTAGTGATAGAGGTGGGGTTCAAACCCAGGTTTGGGTAACTTCAAAGACCTTAGTCTTAATTTTTGCCCCGTGCTGACTCCTGCAAATGCGAACAGTGCCAAGACTGGCATACAGAGAGTAAGTTAAGTAGACATCCAGAGGAGAAAGAAGCCACTTCTACCTAAGTGGTCAGAAAGCTGCAAAGTCTTAATGGAAGAAGAAAGAAAGACCACAGCAGCTAAATAGTGACATTGATACAATAAGCCATCTAAAACCAACGCTAAACCACCATAGAATTGCCTCCAGTTCAAACTAAAAACCTTAATTAGAGATGTTAACATAATAAATGATGAAAACAGACAAATGGGAAGGAAAAAAAATAATGACTATATCGTATCCTAAGAACTGTCCTCCCTAATTTCAGTTAGAAGCCCACTGTTATTACTGTCTCAGGGTCACAAGCTATCTTTTCATTCTCAAAGTGTTTTCCATTGATCACTTACTTCAAGGTCATTAGCTTCAAAACATCTGGAATGTTTGTGAAAATACAGACTTCTAGGTTACACCTTTGAACCAGGTGGAACCCCGGAATCTGTCTTTCAGCAAGCTCCTCGGGTATTTCTTACACACATTAAAGTTTAAGAACCCTTGCTAATCCATCAATTATTTATTAGAGGTTGAAATGAAAGTAGTTCAAGCCAGGCTAAACAGCTGATGCAGAGGAGTTACACTCTAAAATAATGTGCACCTGGGGAGTGGAAGGGGAGGAGGAGGATTAGGGGTAAGGAAAATATCATACTAAGTTATGCATCTAACCACCTCTTTATAGATGAAATAAAGATAAAATGAACATCAAGGGAACCGAAAAGAAAAGTGAGATTTTTAAAAGCAGAAGTAAAACAGGGACACAAGGAGGGCATTGCAATGGGAGAGATTTTGTGCTGGTTGATGGGAAGTGTCAGGACTCCTGGGGCATCCTTACATCCCAGTCCCTGTGTCCTTATCTCTCCTTTGTCTGCTTCTGAGTAGAAGCACTGCTGCTAAAATAGTGTCAAAACAACCCCACCTGCACACCCACTCCCCTCCCCCTCACCCCCTGAGAGAGGAAAAAACAGCACAGGGCAATTACCTTGACTCTCAGCGTTCTAGAAATAGCCCTGATAAAAACAAAACAAAACCTCACAAAATCATCAGTGTTCACATTCTCCAGGAAAATATATGTGGCCCAAGAAGAAAAATTACCTGTGATTCTCCTCTGGTCAGAATTTTTAGATGATTTGTCACTCTTTTTGATTTCTTGCTAATTGAATGAATATTTAGTTTAGATAATTTGTCTTTAAGTGATTCATCCTCATCATTCTTCTTATATTTTAGAACTGAAAAGGAAGAATGCAATAACTTATCTGAACACGTGCAACAGAAAATGTGCACATCAAATCAGTGGTTTGTATTCAAGACAAAAATCTATATGATTTGAACCCTCTCATGCAGATACCATATGCTTCAGCCCTAGTACCTGGTCATGTCCCAGGCACCCATCCCACTGACCTTCAGAAACTCAGCTGTTCAAGGACATGAGCTCCTCAAGGCCCAAGGCTAACTTACTTCTCCCATTAAAGAAATCCCTGATAGTAGAAAAAAACTCTTCCACTCTTCTCAGATAATAAATCTATTATCTGCGGCCTCTGAAATGGGAAATCAGGGCCTAACTAATGAAAAGACAGCTGCACCCAATCTAAGGAGACCTCAGACCCTAGAGTGGCCCTCCCTTCGCTGAGAGATTTAGGGCAAGTTGAGTAACCTCTCTGAGTTTTACCTATTTATCTTTAAAATAACTTTCTCCTCTCATATGTTTCAAAATGTTAAATATTCCTAACATTTAGTGTTGGTAAGGGTGTATGGAAATGGTCAATCTTATGCACTGTTGATGACAATTAAACCAACACAGTTTTTGTAGAGAACAATTTGGCAGAATCTAATAAAAATGCAAATATTTATAGTTTATGACCAGAAAGTCCATACAGAGAAATCTGCTTTCCATAATCAAGCTAAGAAGTTTTGTTGCTACAGCATTTTTTCTAATAGCAAGGTATTGGAAACAATCTAAAATTTTATCCATAGAGGAGTAGTTTATAAATTATGATGCACTCATAAATGGAATACGATGGAACCAATAAAAAGAAGGCAATATTAATTGGAAGAATGTTCATGATATATGATTACGTTTGTTTGAAAAAGCAAACTGTAGTACCATACAAGTTGCAGGAATAAAGGAAAGAAGGAGAGAGACAGACAGAGCAGAAAGAAAAAAATAGAAAAGAAAGATATAGAAAGTCTGAAGAAAACTTAATAAAATGTTAGTTATGCAAACTGAAATCATGGGAGTGAAAAAAATTTTCTCTTTAAAACTTTAAAATGGTTTAAGCAAACAGAAGAATAAAAGGAATAATATAATAACGATTACTCACCTCCCAGCTTTGTCAAATCTTAACATTTTGCCTGTTTCCAATCTTTTGTTAAAAAAAATCACATAAGAGTTGAAGATTCCCTGATCCCCATCTTTGATCTCTAAGTGGAATTATTATCCTAAATAATGGGATTTTTTTATGTCTGTATCTATTTTTATGCCCTTACTGTGTATGTATGAAATCATATAACATATGGTATTATTTTGAGTGTTTTCAAACTTCATAAAAATGGTACCATATTGCACATATTCTTGTCACTTGCGAATTTGCTTTTTTAAAACTCAGGATTGTTTTCCAGATTAATCCAATTTATACATATGCTTTTATTTCATTAATTTTTATATTCTCATGGTATCAGAGTGTATCATACACAGTTTATTCACTATCTGGATAAATATGTAAAATCTTTTTTTTT